TCAGAATATTCGGTGCCCGAACGCGTCAAGGAAGAATACCAGCGCGAATTGCAGGTGTGGCTGGATAATGGATGGCTGACTCCGTATCCCGAGGAAGAGCTTGGTCCTCCAAGAGGCCTCATCCTGTTGATGGCTGTGGTACAAAAGAACAAGGGAAAAGTGCGCCCTGTACTAGATTATAGAGAACTGAACGAACATGTAGACACATACACAGCTCATGCTGATGTGTGTGCACAAAAATTGAGAGAATGGCGAACGAAGGGATCCAATGTCTCTGTGATTGTCCTTGGAAAGGCCTACTTGCAGGTACGCGTGCAATGGTCACTGTGATCCTTAATGGGACAAGATACTGCTTAACCCGAAGAATCTGCGCATGAGGTTGTCAGATCAGAAGAAACCTCAGAACATAACACACAATCTCCTCCAACAGTCGCCCCGCTCCGGAGAAGCTTAAGAGTAAAGATGCCCGCCCATGAGTGTCACTTATGTGACAGGGGGGAGTGTAGTGAAAGTAATAATCAGGTACCCCGGAAAAAAGTTCGTGTTTTGTGTGCGATCTGCCGAAGAAGGATTACCAAAAAGAAGTCAGCAAAAATCTTATAGCAAAGAAAACGGCGACTTACCTTGTCAACCCAAACGACAGCGCGTCGCGTGTATTCTGTGACGGAAAAAGAAATAAGTCCGTCGCAGGAGTCGCTATAAGAGTATATTGATATGCAAATTACAGAGCATCCTATCCTAGCTGTCGCCGAATGAAAAAAATAGGTTTTGCCGATAAAAGCAGTTGGTATTCTCGATTGGGAAGGGAAAATTCGGGCACTTTTGGCTACGGCGTTTGCTGGGAGAGTGACTTATTTTCCTGACTGGTTACACGCTTTGTTAAAGTAATCTGCGACAAATTTGCTTTGAGAACGCTTACACTTACACAAAGCTTGAGCTTTGGCATGCTGGTCTTCTCTGCAAGCTCAAGGGCTATGGTGTCATGGAATAATTATTTCGTTTAGTCGAATCATTGCTAACAAATCATGTAATGAAGGTTATGTTAAACAAGCACACTTCTAGATCATTTCATACTAATGTGGGTGTCCCCCAGGGATCTTTCCTTGGACCTATGCAGTTTCTGATCTTTGTCACCGATCTTCCCAATGTCATTAGTTCTCAAATAGGCATTTATGCAGATAACACAACCATTTACCCCTGTCTTAGTAGCAAGTCCAACAGATCCAACAAAGTAAATGTGGCAACTGCTCTTGAAAAGGACCTCCAATCAGTGTGATATTCATATAATCAGAAATTACCAACGGTTTCCTCCAACAGCCATCTCCATTTTAACTTATTCACACTTATAAACCCTGGGTTGGGTCTTTACATAAAGAAATTCTATTTCTTGATTTGATTGCAATGTTTCGGCATAGGACACATGGCACAGTGGATAAAGGTTAGATCAAGTGACAGGACCCAAAAAGTGTGAGTTCAATACCCATTTAAGGCAGTGGAGAACTTGGAGAGGGGAATTAACAGGAGATAAACTGATATCCATTAGACATGGCACGTAGAACTAGAACAGTCTACCCCAGTGAGTGAAATAAAGGGTTCAGTTCAACATTCCAACCACCTGAAAAAGGCCGAAATGTGCAATGGCTGAAACGTTGTAATAAATATGGCGACAAAGATGAGGACAATAGTCCAAATAATGTAAATAGTGTGGATGATTATATATATATATATATATATATATATATATATATATCTGTGGATCACAATATATATGTATATATATAACAAGGTGAATCAATAAATTTGTAGGTTGGCATAATTTTTCATAGAAACTTTATCTGAACTTTTCACTCTATAAATTTCAAGCTATGTGAATAATATTAAACATTGAATTAAGTGCATTGTCAAGGTGAACAAATGAAATGTATAACTAACAAATGTTTCCTTTACAATCTTTGCTGCCAAATAAGAGTTTGCAATTTTCATTATTTATATGTGTCAAGGTTCATATTCAGCAATACCAGTCATGGGGATGGATAGTGTTTATTGTTTACACTAACTTTGTAAAGTTATATACAACATATAATAGCCAAAAAGAAAAACAAACTAGATTCCATTTATTTCTGGTAAGTTTCCAATTAAGAAATACAATGAAAAGTAAAAAATATATTTTTGGGGAAAAACTGTTTTGCGAAATTTCTTTTTTCAAAGCATATAAATATTTTTCTTGTTCAAACATTAATAATAAAATTGAAATTATAACATTAAACTGAATGATTACAAATGGCAACTGTTACACTGAAAGATAAATCTATATCACAGAAAAGGGGTCAAGTTACCCTTTTACCATTAGATATATTTTTTCCATTAGATCATATATGGATGCATACTAATTTTGTGTGCTCTACATGAAAGATTTTCATAAAAGTTTCCTTTTTTTATTGCGAAAAGATGACAGACACTTCCCAATTATATATATAAATGTAGTATTTTAAAAAATTTTAAGTTTGGAAAATTTAAATTTTAAAATCTATATTATAAAAGAAAAGCCGATTCTCTGTCACACATTATCTGCATAAGACTTTGCATATATGTATGTCATATACATGTGGTCCTTGACTTACAACAGAATTCCATTCCTATGATGTGATGTAACACAATTTTCTGTGTAAGTCACAACATACCTGCAGTTTTCTATGAATAAGCACTTATGCCAATCACCTATACTAATATAATAGTAAAGTAATAATCTAAGACATAAAGACACATTTCTATGACATTTGTTAACATAATCAGGACTAAGAAAAGTATGGGGGGCATAAATATAATATATATAAAAACTATTTTTCTACTGTATAATGTATTCTTCATCACAATGTTTGTGTCGTATTTACGTCAGTGTTTTTGAACAAAAACAAAAAAGTGTTGAGTTAGTTGAGAAAATAGACAAACAAAACAGTTAAACAAAATGAGATAGAAATATCTATTCTATCAGGTACATTTTTTGTGTGGAGAAAATTTCAAGGAATGTTCTTAAGTATCTCTGAAAAGAATGAAGAAAAAGCTGAATCTACTCTGCTGGTGAAGTAGAGAGTGAATGATGTGTATAGCTTAAGCCGCGTGCGCCTGTTGCATGGAGCGCTAATTTTAGTGTCCTATCCCAATCTCAGTCTGTAAGGAAAGAGAACTAGCCTCTTCTGATTTACAACACGCATGCTGCTAGTTTTTTTTTCTTTTTACGCATACCCAAAAGCTGAAATGGAGTTACTACCAGTTTTCCATACAACACTGCCTGGGAGAAAGGTTTAACGTCTGCTACAAGATCAAAAGAAAATGAGATAGATTAATATAGAGATAATGATAAAATGAGGGCAAAAGAAAGAAAGTATTTTACACTGATATAAATATCTATAAAAATATCAAACATACAATAAGCCAAAGTAGATAAGCGTTCCAAGACATATACAAACAAATCTACATAAATACAAATAGGCTTTGAATAGATGGAAGTGAATGCAAATTTGATATTTATTATGCTTGGTTTAGTATATGACAAAGCCAAATTGAATAGAACAAACATGAGAAGAGTTTGTTTTGTCAATTTTGTAATGTTCAAATAGAATGTATACTATTACGAGTGTGAATCAATTAGGATACACCCAAGTCTTGCAGGTTAATTTATTGTAATTAATCAGAAAACTGGAACAGATGGTTAATTATACATGTCAACAGTTGTTAGTTACTTAATATTGAATAGGACAAAAATCCCAAAAATTAATAAATAAGTAGACATAAGTCTGGTCTGGTTTAGACTAGAGTCAAAAAGGTAGACATGGGTCCAGTTTATAAAGGGTGTTCCAATAACTTGGACCGATTTTAAATGTGAATTAAGTTTAAGCATTTATTGATTTTTTTCTTTTAAGTCTTTGGCAATTTCAACCATGGAAAGATTAACAATCAAACAATGTATTAAAGTTATCGAAACCTATTATGAAAATGGACGTTCAAACAGAAATGCATTTTGCGCACTTTGCGATATTTTTGGTCAACATAACCAACCGAGAGTGCAATTGGAAATGACGTAACGTTGTTGTGGAGAGGTTCAATTCCTGCGCAATGATGAAAAGAGGTGTCTGGATTTTGGGCCACATTCTTGTGCACTGCAGCAACGTTTTCAGCTGAACAGCGTAAACGAGCACGCAATGGTGTTTTCACATCTGCCATTAACCCAGTTTGTTTGAATTTACAAACAATTTTTCTAGTTGCACTCTTGAAACTTTAACACGTTGTTTGATTGTTAATCTTTCCATGGTTGAAATTGCCAAAGACTTAAGTTGTTAAATCTGAAAGAAAAAGAAAAAAATTATTAGACGCTTAAAGTTAATTCACATTTAAACTCACACACACACACTGTGTATGTGTCTGTTCGGTTAACCCATTCATATGAATTGTGACATCACACTCTGCTCTTGTCAATCATTGGCTGCAGCTAATCATGCCACATGTAACACACATCATTGTTACACAGTGTGTTTTGCATAGGCATGTGTTGGCAACAAAACCTTTTCCCCAAAACTAGCAGAAGTACTAAAAATTGTAGTGGAATGTGTGAACTATGTGCAAAATAGTGCTATGAGGTGCTACATGTTCAAAGTGCTGTGTAATGAAATGGGCTCTGAATTCGACGTACTTCTGTACTCTTCTAACGATCGGGGGTTATCACGGGGTGCAGGTGCTGAATCATGTTTTTGCCATGCATGTAGAATTGGCTCTGTTTTTGCAAGATTTTCATGAGTTCATTCTTATTTTGGCATACATGGACAATGTCTTTGATGCTCTCTATCATCTCAATCAACAGATGCAGGGCGGTGGAGTCAACATCATTGAAACAGAATGATGACTTCACAAACTTTCTCCTGCTGGACAACTGAGTAAGTAAGATTGAAGATATGTCAGGAATCTAAGACATTTCTGTACCCAGGGAACTGAAGCAAGCAGTTGCCATGCGTTTACATGAGCTCGCAAAGTCTCTCAACAGATACTTCCCTACCAGAGAGATTGTTATGGTAATTTACCCATGCATGCATGGACTCTCCCAGCTATAAATAGGAGCAGGTACTGCCTTTTGGAGAGGGAAGTTTCCAGCAGTCAGCTCTGACAGTCAAACCGAACATTCTTGCTGTAACACTCTCATTTGTACATGTTTGTATTACTATTTCTGTTAATATATTTGTTTAACTCAGTTCCTCTCTTTGTATCTTTATTTCTGGCCCCTAACAAGGCCACAACAGAGATAAACAGCATGGGTGAGACAGTTGTTTATGTTTAGTGTTGCGACAGCAGATGTCAATGATTAATATCTCAACAAAATCATTGAATTTCAGCAGAGCCAGTTTCAAGAGAAACTCTTCAGGAAAACAACAACGTTCTCAATGTTTTGGTGTCACCAAATTGTAGTGTATACTCTTATTGTTAAGAAAGCCCTTGAGATACTCATATTGTTTGTTAAGGGTGGTGGAGTCAACATCATTGAAACGGAAAAAAACCTGAAGGCTTTTAAAAATAGCTATCTTCATGGAAAGGATGAATAGAGAATGATAACTTTGCAAACTCTCCCCTGCTGGATGACTATGTAAGTTCAAAAGTGTCTGGAATTGGAGGCATTTCTGTACCTGGGGAACTGAAACAAGAAAATGCCATGCACTTAGATGAGCTTGTAAAGTTCCTTGATGGATACTTCCCCAACAGAGAGTTATATCCAGCATGGGTGAGATAGCTGTTTACGTTTAGTGTTGCGACAGCAAATGTCAATGATTATTACCTTGACGAAATCATTGAACTTCAGCAGAGCCAGGTTCAAGAGAAACTCTTCAGAGAAACAACGCTCTCAATGTTTTGGCGTCACCAAATTGTAGTGTATCCTCTTATTGTTAAGATACATAATTCTTTTCAAGGATGGTAGACTTGAAAACACAACACAGAAAAGGAACAGACTGTTGTGAAAATGATATGAGAGTGGCATTTGCTTAGGTGAAGATATGCATTTCTGAACTTGTCTCTGAAAGGCAACAAAAAAGTCACATTTATTTTCAGTAAATACTCATTGAGTTATGTTTTTGTTTTTGTGTTAAAGTCAAGTTTTGTTGGTTTTGTTCTTTGAACATAGTGATTTTGTGCGCAAATGATGCATGGTTCATTTGGGCACTAATAAAATATATACCTATGTTTTGAAGAAATCATATTTTATTTTTCCAATTACAATGAATGCATGTTATATAACTTGCGGGGTTTAGTTCCTTTAACAAGGTTAAGAACAACTGCACTAGAGTCAAAAAGGAAGACACAGGTCAGTTTTTATTAGAGAAAACTTTTCCATTAAATTCGCAAAACTTTAATCATGGAGACTATTGTCCCGTGGCCCAATTCTGAAACTCAACCTTTGAAACTTAAACTTAATGTTCCTATTGCCTCCTCTGTTGTAAGACTTCAAGTTCTATCTTCAGGATTGTCCCTTTGGACAATAGCCTAGCAGATAAAAGTGTTAGTTTGGGAATACAGCTGAAGCATTAAGTAATTTAAATCTACACTTGATGAATATTTAGCAGGGATTACTCCTCTGATCACTCACACAATATGGGTGAAGTTTCTCCTCTACATTTTTATATCAAGTTTGCTAGATTCAGATATTTTTGAAAGCCCTGCAATATTATTTTTAAAATTTCACTACTTGCAATTTTTTTTTTGTGGGGGGGGGTGCTTTTTTTAGAAGAGAAGACAAGTTACCTCATGTGGCAAAGCGAGCACGTATATGCCTGGTGTACAAAATAAGTGAAGGAAAAGAAAAAGAAATATGGCCACCCTGACACCTCAATTTAAGAAAGACATGGTCTCAAAGCTAGGAAAATTCGCAAACATATGTAAATTTTTTTGCCAGATCAGCTGAGCATAAAAATCACAACGCCAGTAAGTGTATAGATAGTTTGTTTTTGAATGCGGTGCTGCTTGTATAGAGAGACACTGTCAATTGGAAAGAGATTACTTGGATCAGTTTCATACAGTTTGAAATTCCAAGAAGATTACTAAATATAAAGACAAGAAACCTGAAGAAGGCCATAGGATCGAAAAGTTAGTCTAAGCACCAAAATAAACATGTTGATCCAAATAGTAAACCATATAATAATTTCATATTGATTTTTTTTGTAATATAAATACATAATGTAAAGAGTTTAGTTTGTGTAGAAGAGAAGACGAGTTACCTCATGTGGCAAAGCAAGTTCGTATATGATCAGTTTCATATAAGCTATTTCCACAAAAATGACAGATAAATCTGAACTAAAAATTATTCCCGAATTTGATGGCTCTGCATCTAGACCATCTGTGGTTGAATGGATTGAAAAGGCTGAGTTGGTCTGTAAGATGTGTCAGGTTAAACGTCTGGAACACATGGTCCCTTTAAGGCTAATGAGTGGTGCGTTTGCTGTCTACCAACAACTGAGAGAGGAAGAAAAAGAGGATTTCAGTCAGATAAAATCTGCACTGTACACAGCTTTCCCTCTGGACGGTTTTCTGGCTTATGAGCAATTTTCTGAGTGACAGCTCCATCCTGGAGAATCGATGAATATCTATCTGGCGGCATTACGAAAACTTTCTGCCTTGTTTGGCGAAATGAGCAACTTTGTGGCATTTGTGCAAGGGTTACCAGACTGAGTTAAATATCTGCTTTGCTTTGCTTCAAACTGAATGGATGAGTTGTCTATCAACCAGCTATTAACTCGAGCGCAAGAATTTTAAAAGATGAAGTACTGGAAGTGGGACTGACAGTTGCAGCAGTGCGAACAACATGGGATGAGGCAAGGAAGCTTCCTGCCGGGGATCCATGTGGCTCCATAACATGCTAACGTTGCAACTGTTCCAATTATTTTGCAAAGGACTGCAAGGGACCACATACTGAAAGGCGGATACCTCGGATGCAATATTACAAGTGTAACGTGGTAGGGCATGTAGTCCGCAATTGCCCGGGAAATGATCCAGGGGAATAGGCCTCAGGACCCGTCTTCTCCCCATGCTCCATACAAAGGTGTTGCTACTTGCAATTGCTGTATGCATCAATGGAATCAGTTTAGCCTTGCTAGACACAGGCTGTTCTTGATTGCTTGTAAGCAGACCACTTTGTCGCTCTTAGAAGAGGAAAGAAGTGGATGTGCTCACTATGGGGGAATGGACCCTCAAGAGCTCTGGGGTAGGACTTATTCAACTTGATGTGAGCAACAGAATCCCTATCGATGTTGAAGTTCTGGTTGTGGACGAAAAATTGTTTGGTTTTGACCTGCTGCTCAGATTTGACATCATCAAGAAGTTGGGAGGAGCATGTGTGTCCAGTGATGGGACTGTGAGCTTTCCTCAACTTGAACAACCTTTGTGTACGGCCATTACCATCAACAAACATACTTTCATGTAGAGTACGACCAGAACAAGATCTGGGTTGTGTCTTGTAAGTTGCCTGGTGACCAGACACCACACACATTGAAGAACCAGACAGTACCAAAGTGGCACAGGGAAGTGTATACTTGCAAACTACGAACCTGGATGAATAATGGCTGGCTACTTCCATATCCCAAAGAAGAACTTGGGCCCTCTAAGAACCTGATCCCTCTAATGGCTGTGCTGCAGGAAAACAAACAGAGGGTCTGCCTGGTCATGGATTATCAGGAGCTCAATCAGTATGTGGACATGCACACCACTGATGCAGATGTTTACGTGCAAAAATTGAGGGAGTGGCAACAGGAAGGATCGGATGTCAACGTATTGGATTTTCGCCATGCTTACTTGTAGATCCACATCGACAAATCATTATGGCTCATTCAAACAGAGGCAGATAGATGGGCAAAGATATTGCTTCACTCATTTGAGTTTTGAACTCAATGTGGCACCGCTAATCACGCAATCAATTGTGAATGCTGTGGTCGCACAGGACAAGACCATCCAGTGGGTCATGTCCTTGTACATCGATGACATATTTGTCAGTGAAAGTATATGCATTGTGGCACGTGTAGGGGTGCATCTTCAGCAATTCAGACTGACAAGTAATGATCCAGAGCGTTTAGAGGATGGCACCTGTGTGCTGGGTTTACATGTCTGGGAGGAGCAGGGCAAATTGCAATGGAGTCGCAGGAGGGACCGCCCACCGCTACCTAATGTGTTCATTTGTTGGAGCATCTTCTCCCTGTGTGGGAAGTTGACTGGACATTTGCCAGTATGTGGCTGGCTTCACGTCACAACTGCATTTATAAAATGGTGTGCAAACTCTGTGACGACTGGCTGGGACAATGAGGTGCGGGATCCACTCCTGACTTGGATGCTGATGGACATCATTACCAGATTGGTACAGAAGGATCTGGTACAAGGTGATTGGTGTGTTGATGGACACAAAGTTACTGTGTGGGTTGATGGAAGCTCCTTGACCACTGGTGTCATTGTGGAAAGCTGCGTATCTCTGGTTTAAGATGCCTGATGGCTGCGATCAGAACGTGAACATATCAACCTGACAGAGCTCGATGCAATCTTGAGAGGCATCTACATGGCACTGCAATGGAGAGAAGCTGTAGTTCACCTGATGACTGACTCAATGTGTGTGCATTAATGGGTTTCTGATACACTGTCTAGAAAGACTTGGTTGCACACAAAGTCGGCAACAGAAATGTCGATAAAACGTCAACAATCAAGGAACTGATGGAGGAATATGAACTGACTTTCGATATAGAGCTTGTCAAATACCATGCAAACTGAGCTGATCAGCTTACCAGAGTGCCTCAAAGTTGGAAAAAAATGAAACTAGTGTGCACCACATCTATGGAATCAAACCACATTCAAGTCATCTATTAACGTAGTGAGCATCCTGGTGTGAAGCACACCTTGTACTTTGTATGACTGATCCACCTTGAGGTCTCAAAGGCAGCTGTTCGGGCAGTAGTTGGAGAGTGCAAAAAGTGCCAATCCATTGACCCAGTGCCAGTACATTGGAAAGCTGGATGGTTGATGTGTGCAAGAATTGGAGCAGGGTGGGGATGAAAATAATCCATTATGAAGGACAGCATTATCTGACTCCAATTGACTGTGGCCCTAGTTGGTTTTCCATCCGGTGACCGTTACCACATCAGAATGCTGCAGCATTATCCAACAGCTGGGGTCACTATTCTGGAAGAGAGGGCCACCTGCCGAGATGCTCATCGACAATGATGTGGCATTCTGCAGGGAGTTATTTGCAAGGTTTGCCGAGAACTTAGATTTCAGTGTACCTATCAACCATCAGTGAATGGCATCCTGGAGAGATGCCATCGCACCATCAAGTGTATCGCTGCTCAGTTGGGATATTCCATTATGGAGGCGCTATATTGGTATAACGTGATGCCAAAAGATTACGCAACAACTTTATTGATACCAGCTAACACTATATACAACTATCAAACCCGCATAAAGGGTGTTGATGTTACACCACCAATTGAACACAGATCCGGGAGTCTACAGAGCAGGAGATGCGGTATGAGTAAAGACCCCACATGGTCGATGTTCAACGCAATTCAAAAAAGGAACAGTAACACAGGTCTATAGTCCACATTCAGTTATCATTAATGGAATGCCACGCCATATCAGAGACTTCTGTCTGCACCAGAGATTTGCATCATCAGAAGATGACAGCAGTGATAAGACATGTAAAAGTGACTCAGATTCACTGCTGTTTTTCAACGCAGGGCCAGATTATTCATCTACGGAACCAGTGGAAACAGATGCTGGAGACAACGATGATGATGATGCCAATAACGAAAGAGACCAAGTGGGCACAAATGCAGAAGAAACGGGCGGACCCCGTCAACTTTTATGTAGAGGCATCGACGAAGGTAACCACCTGTGATGTCCATGCGAGTATAAATAGACCCCACATGGTCGATGTTCAACGCAATTCAAAAAAGGAACAGTAACACAGGTCTATAGTCCACATTCAGTTATCATTAATGGAATGCCACGCCATATCAGAGACTTCTGTCTGCACCAGAGATTTGCATCATCAGAAGATGACAGCAGTGATAAGACATGTAAAAGTGACTCAGATTCACTGCTGTTTTTCAACGCAGGGCCAGATTATTCATCTACGGAACCAGTGGAAACAGATGCTGGAGACAACGATGATGATGATGCCAATAACGAAAGAGACCAAGTGGGCACAAATGCAGAAGAAACGGGCGGACCCCGTCAACTTTTATGTAGAGGCATCGACGAAGGCAACCACCTGTGATGTCCATGCGAGTATAAATAGAACCCACTCGGTTGAGGTGGAAACTCTTCTGTATACAGCAAACCTGGTGACGAGGATGTAACAATTTAACAAGCTTCAAATTAACGAAACACTACCCCCATACAGCAAAGGGAAAAAATACTTGAATTCAACAACAATAGTAATACACTTCAAAAATAACAAATTATTTCGAAAGAAATAGCTCTCTCTATGCCAACAATAGAGCCCCTACAATAGAGCCCCTCGAAGATGCATTTACTTTGGGAAAACTCAAAACCTTAATATCCTCAAAACCTTAACCAGAGATACCACCAGGCCAAATAGAGCCTACATACAAAACAACAAAATAGCACTGGATGAATATTTCATCCAGAAAACAAATAAAGTCTTTGAAAGACATAAATTCAGGATGCTTAGTCAAGAAAACGGGGAGTCAACACATGACTATGTCACCCGTTTACACATACAAGGAGCAAAATGCAACTTTGGCGAATACAACCTGGACAAGGCTATAGTGGACCAATTAATAGAAAAATGCTCGTCAAGCAAATTACGCCGTGCGTATTTGAAAGAAACTGATTTAACAGTAGAGGGAAACCACCGTCCGGTGCATATGGCCGAAATGAAAGGCCCCTGGGAAATACTCCACGTAGACATCTGTGGGCCTTTCCCTAGTGGGGATTATGTAATCGGAACAATCGATGCGGGATCAAGATGGCCTGAGGCATTTGTTACCAAATCCACCAGGGCTGATACAATCATATCGACAATCCAAAGGTGTTTCTATACACATGGCATTCCAGTGATTATCATTTCAGATAATGGACCCCAGTTCATATCCTCAGAGTTTAAGCACTTCTGCAAAGAATGGGGTATCCAACACCGAAAGGTAACCCCATATCATCCCCAAACTAATGGAGAGATCGAGCGGTTCTTTGCAACCATGTTGAAAGCCATTTGGGTGATGAACACAGAAGGAAAGGACTGGAGAAAACAACTAGGAAAATTCCGAATGTATTACTGAAAATAGTCCACATGCCATGATGGGAGAAACTCCAGCTAAGCTACTCATGGGTAGGGAAGTAAACATCAACAAAACCAGGATTACAAAAGAGGTCTGACAACCAAGCTTGGAGAACAGCACGGCAAAAAGACAAAAAAGAAAGACAGATTGAAAAATCACACAGATCAAAAAAATAAAGCTAAACAAACTAACATAGAACTCGGAGATGTCATACTACTTAAACAAAGTAAACACAACAAGCTAATGCCAGTGACCATGGAGAGTAAAAGAATGCAGAGGCGAATCTGCAATTATAACACAAGGTGACAAACTTATTTTATGACACACATCACAAATGAAAAGAATCCCCGAAGACAGGACTCACCAACAACCAAGGAATGACGACTTCCCTTTCAACGACGACCTTGGGGAGCAGAAAGATATAGAACATGAGAGAGAAAGCAAGGAGGAGGAGGAGAAGGAAGAAGCAGATATCCCTATAGCCCTAAGACGACCAAAACGCCATATAAGAAAACCCCGAAGGTATGCAGGCAGCAGTTCAGAAGAAGAGAGAAATAATCTGAATACAAAGGAGGAAGCAGATGTGATGTCCGCGCCAGTATAAATAGAACCCGCTCGGTCGAGGGGGAAACTCTTCAGTGTACAGCAAACCATCATCTCCGTGTCATCTTTTTCTAATTGTTATAAGCTCTTTACCTGCTAAAATAAGAGTTAGAGTGTGTGTGTGTGGGGGGGGGGATCTGAAAATTTGGTTTTTGCAAAAATATTCAACTTGTTCACAAAGAGAAAGGAAAGAAAAAGAAGAAAACAGATAAAAGTGCAAATAGAATATTTTTTAATCAAGATATTATTAAGGGAGATTTTTTAGAAAAAATTGTTTTCTTTTATACCAGTTTCTTATGAAGAAACTGGTCTTTTAAACAGGAGTAGAGGTTTATCCCTTGTTTCCTGTATATATATATATATATAATTTATATTTTTATATCTAATGCATCATGGAGCATCACAAAAAATATATTTTCTTAGATTCAACAGGAAATAGATGAGATACAGGAAGATTTCTTAATAACTCCTGTAACAACTTCAACTCAGAATTTTGCTCTGACTATCACTTGGGCTGAATACTTGATATATTGTCTTTTATTCATACATGATGCATGCATGTGGTATTAAACATAAGAACTATTTAATATAAAAATGCTCAGCTCTATTCTAAAGTATGTTATTTCAGGCGTATAAAATATCTAATAACTTAATAACTGTACAAGTTTAAAAGCTGAAACTTTACAAATTAATAATTTTATGTTTTTTTTTTTAAATACACCATAATTTTTATCTTCCTCTGTAAATTATAAGTTAATTAAATTTTATTTTAATATAGTTTCAACTTTGTAAGGATATTATATGTTATTTATAATTTCCTGTGTGAAACTGACCCAAAGTCTCTCTGTGAAAGCAGTACCATGTTCACGAACATACTGTCTATTCTCTCTTGCGTGGTGTTTTTTTGCCAAGCTGATCTCGCAAAAAATTTGCATATGTCCAAACACTCTTGCCAATTCTCCTAGTTCTGAGACTGTGTCTTTCTTAAATTAAGCTGTTAGGGCAGCTATATTTCTTTTTCCTTTCCTTCATTTGTTTTGCACACCAGCCATATATGTGCTTGCTTTGCCATACAATATAAGTCATCTTCTTTTTTACATTTCCAATAAAAAAAGGCTTTTATTTTGTCTTGTTGGTATTAGGTTAGGGTTCATCATTTGAAGTTCAGAAGGTGTCATGTGTTAACAAACAAAAAAGTGTGGAATTGGTTGAGAAAATGAACAAGTTCCTGATGATAGAAAATTAAATTATGATGGGAATTCGAATTATGGCAAGGAAGGACAACTTAAACAGCTGTTGCTGTTATTCAGTCTATTGTTTTTGAAAGGGCAAGATACTGAAATGTACTTCCTTCAGTTAGAAGCATTTTACATCATGAAAGGATTTATTCCTCAAGAAGTTTACCCTAGCAGTTTCTGTTTTGCCACCAGATGTAATTAGAGAAGTTAAAGATATTATTTCACTCTCAGCAGATGGCCCCTTTAAAAAAAGACGAAAACAATTTTCTTTGTTTAGTGAGATTCAGGGGAAATTTTTAATCTAAATTGTTGGAACACAAACAAACTTACTGTACAATGCTACACTCAGCAACTGGCACATTTGAATTATATTATGGTGATGTGAGTTAAAGCCTTGAATGTTTTTTTAAAATGTGCTCTTTGGTTTGTATTGAGTATACTATATATTCACATAATATGAGTAGATAAGTTAACTTATCATCTGGTTTACACATACACTTCTCCCTGGTCTTTTGAACAGGAGTAGAGGTTTAACCCTTATTTTCTGTTTAGGATTAGGTCTCAAGATCCCTCTAAAGTCTTTTTGTTCTCTTTCACTTCAGGTGGTTGTCCCTTGTGTCTCGGTGGCATTATCACCTTGCTCAGGATGGTGCTTCTTACTCTGTACCGCCAGTGGCTCTTGGGCCTTGTACACGTTGAAAAGCAGTGTAAAAAAAGTCTGTTTCTATAGCATTACTTAAAACGGATTATTTCAAATACAGGTATTTAAATTGCTTCTAATTGTAGCAGGTGATTCACTGCTTGAAAATACCAAGTTTAATATCAATAACCATTTTTTTTTAAGAGGAGTTGATTTTTGGTGACCCCAATATGTAAGTGATACTAAAGCAGACTCTGCACTCAAGGTCACACCACAGCTTCAGAGGTTTGTACTGAAAGGATAGCCACCAGATGCAAAATAGGGCTAAACTCTGAAATTTTATTTACTATTTATTTATTTTTTCCTCAATAGCAAATATTTGCCTCTGATCTGGTTCACACTCCGCCCTGGTCTTTTAAACAGGAGTAGAGGTTTATCCTTGTTTCCTGTATATATATATATATATATATATATATATATATATATATATATATATATATATAATATTTAGACAAGTCTAATGCATCATGGAGCATCACAAAAATATATTTTCTTAGATTCAAACATACAACAGTAACAGTTAAAAAGATACTAACTGAAATATTTGAATGAGTGAAATACTGCAGTAAGAACACAAGCAACATAATGAAGGCACTCAATATTCTGAACAACTTTGGAGAATAATAACTAATTTCAGACAAGCAAAGAAGCCACAGCAAATCATATTGAGGTTAATATTGAGTTCCCACTTAAAAAAAACCCCCAAAAAACACACATTTCTTTACTGAAAATGTGGTATCAATTCAATGGCTTATTTTTCATTAAAATTACAAAATATTAATTAAGAGATGAATAATGTAGGCAGTTGAGTTGAAAGTAGCAAGCTGCACCCAGAGGGAGTGTCTGGCTTTCATGAGCTGATTGACTAAATCACACACATATATATATATAAATTTCACAATTTTCTAGTTGGATTTTGTACTTCAGGGAATGAAAAATGTATTAAAAACAACCAAAAATATTGTTCTTTGGTTTAGATCTGTTTATATTTAGTTTCTTGTTTTTGCATGAAATTTTATCTTCGATATCATATATTTAGCCCCTGTATGCAAATCAGTATTTTATAATGTCCTTTGTGAATTTGATTACTTTGTAGTGAATTCTATATAGCATTATTTTATTATTTCTCTTGTATAGTGTTGTTTTATGATATGTGATCAGTAGTTAACTATTTGCCTGTTTTTTAGTTTACTATACACTTTATATTTCATAAATTTATATTTATCCAATACATCTCCCTGAACCTGTTATGGTAATTTACCCATGAATGCATAGGTAAATAAGAGCAGGGACTGCCTTTTGGAGGGGGAAGTTTCCAGCAGTCAGCTCTGACAGACGGACCAAACATTCTTGCTGTAACACTCTCGTTTGTATGTTTGTATTACTGTTTTTGTTAATATATTTGTTTAACTTAATTTCTCTCTGTGTCTTTATT